AGCGACCAAAATAGCATTAGCATCTCCATTTAAAGCTTTTTGGTGACTAAACAATTTTAGTAGCCAAAAGTCTACAATTGGCAACTAAAAATAAGTTTGGTCGCTGATTATATGGGTTTTACTGACTAAAAAAATTTTAGTAGCCAAAAGTTAAGCTTTTTGGTGACTAAAAAAATTTTAGTAGCAAAAAACCTACAATTGGCTATCAAAAAATAAGTTTAGTCACCAAAAGTGGTCATTTTTAGCCCGGGCGAACTAAAATCCTAGGGCGGGAATTAACTTTTTTGGCGACCAAAATTTTGGTAGCTGAAAGTGCGTTCCTAGGGCGGGAATTAACTTTTTTGGCGACCAAAATTTTGGTAGCTGAAAGTGCGTATTCGACGACCAAATCCGATTTTGGTTGGCAGAAGTTAAGTTTTTTAGCGACTAAAAACAATTAGTAACCGAAAGTATAGAATCGGTGACTAAAAAATATGTTCAGTCGCTAAAAGTGGTCTGTTTTTATTTTGCTACTAAATAGTTTATTTTACATAAATTATGTTCAATAAAATAATTATGTTTATACATATACTTTTATATTAATATGGATGTATGTACTATATAAATAATATATGTCATATATATAATCATGTGATGCTATAGAGGCGTAGTGGGAAGAGTGTGGTGCATCAGGTTTATGGTGCAGGAGGTTGGCAGTTCGAGTCTCCGCAAGAGCGGATCAAATTGTTCTACAACGAATTATTATTATTTTTTTTCATGTTTGAAGCTTTTGGCGACTAAAGGTGTTGGTCGGCGATTGGTTGCTTTTGGCGACCAAAGGTGTTGGTCGGCGATTCCTTGACTATTGGCGACTAAAACATTGGTTGGTAAATGTGTAATTTTAAAGAAATATAATTGACTATTGGCGACCAAAATTTTTGTCGCTAAAGACTTGCTTTTTGCCAACCAAAAGTTTTTTGGTCGGCAAAACCCCCCAAGACCTTTCCCGAGAGAGTTTTGGCGACAAATGTAGCGACCAAAATTTTTAGTCGCAAAATGTCATTGGCGACTAAAAAACAAACAATTGGTTACCAATATTTTAGTCGCTAAAAGTGACTTTTTTTTGTAGTGGCAATAATGCAACTAATAGGCTCGACTACTAATATAGCATTTGAGGCAATTTAATTACCATGCGGTCTAAGCACATATTTAACAAAGTATTAAAATGACAATGCAATTAAAATGATGAACCAAGCCTCGGTGCATGTAATACAAATGAATGGATGCAAACATGCGATATGCTAATTGAAATGTGATGTCCCTAATCTAACCATCAAAAGCGGATAAATAAAAGGGAGAAAGACGTGGGGTTAGAAGACATACATATTATTACATTACGCTCTCACGAAGAAGAGTCTGAAAGAATAAAGCTAACTAGCTAACTAAGCTAATTAAGCTAATTATCACAAACCAAAATGAATAACTAGCTATACTAATTAACTAATTATTACAACACTAAATGAATTAATTAGCTAACTAACTAATTAAATAATTACAAGGCAATTGCAACTAATAATTAAACTAAGTAATTAACTATTCCGTCTCGGGAAATGAGAGATGCGCATGCGCATGCTCGGTTTCCATCTAAAAAAGACCACTGTTTTGCTCCCCGAATGCCTCTGTTTGCATAGTTGAACATTTCCAGAACCATTTTACTACA